TAATTTTCCTTGAAAATATTGACTTCAGATGTGAAATGTAATCAAAACTACCATGCACTTTTTGTGGCTTTGCTTAGTATTCGCAAAAAAAGTGGATGGAAAGTTATAGTAAATGTATTTAAATAATCAAACTGTAGTTTCTTTGTATTATGTGCCGTCTCTTGAGAACATTTCAGTGCATTTCTGCTCTGTTCTCCTCCTTGTTTGAAGGTAACTCACATTCTTCCACTTCTTTTTGTTTGTGAAATTTTCTCCTCTTTTTTATCTACTCAGTTCTCCATCTGCTTTCACTTTTGTTTGCTTGGGCCGTCTCTCATCCCAACTTGATAATGAGGAATGCAGTGTGACCCTGACCTCTATCAGCCCATGCATGACCTTCTGACTTGCCCACATAACCTTTGACCTTCTCTTTGACAGCTTGATTAATTGCCCTGTGTTATGATTTATGAGTAAGTGCTATGTAAAAATAATAGACAACAGGTGGTCCTCTGAAATCTTTTTGTGGTACGTTTTCTTTTCCTGCCTAACCTGATGAGCTGTTTTAAGTTTGGAACTTAGCAGGACAAAGTGTGTTTGACAGAAGCATGGCATTTTTATGCACTTGGACACAGTGCTGGAATTCAGGCGGCTGAGGTATATCTGGGATGGAAATATCACAGTGTTAGCAGGGTGCAGTTGCCAAAATGTACATTGGGTGGAAACAGAAAGCAGAATCAACTGACACTTCAGGCGTTTCAGTCACAGGTCACGTCTTGAGAAAATTGCTCAAATAATAGAGAGGGCATTTTTCAAGCTGAGCTGCATCTCCAACAGCTATGTTTACTTTAACACTTCACTAGTGGCTTCTGATTGGTTGTCATGACCTCATCTTGCTATTGCACCTACAATGTCGCAATAGTGACATAGATGTACCCTTCTTGCAGTAAAGATGGGAAATGAACAGACCATACATCTTTCAGAAAATTGAATGGACATTGCTGTGTCTGTTTTAACCACAGGCAGGTTTAAGAACAGAGTGCTTTGAGTTGCATTTCCCCAAGGAATTAGTTCTGGTCTTGCTGCCAACAGTCCAAATAGAAACCTGAACTTGAAAATTCAGGTTGATCAAGCATAGGAAAATGATCTCCTTGAAATCCTCTCTCACAATCCAAAAAGATAGTTACATAGGTCAAAAGATATCTCTCCAGCTCTGACTTCTTTTGCCACATATTGTGTCCCACCCTGCTGGATTAATATGCAGATCTGAATGGTTTCAGCTCATTACTCATGTGCCAGGCAGGTGAAATTTCAAACTATTTGAAATATATCTCACATTTTTTGAGGTTCTTTTTTTTTTGTGCTTACCCCCTTTGAACTTCCAGTAAGAGACAGAAAGTACTGTCCCATTTCTGTCTCATGTTTCCATTGCAAAGGAAAAGGCTCTTCTACATTGCTCTTAGTAGTATACATACTGTAACTGAGGTTCGTGATTCTTTCCAACTCTTGACTTAGTAAGCCTGCTTTTCATTTCATCATCACAATCCTCAACCTCCAGGAGCAGCAACGTGGAGAATTGTAGGAGTTAGTGTAGATTAAATTTTACTTACCTTGAAGCATTACCATGTCGGGGGAAGAGATGTTAATCAGGTGCTTTAGTCTGAGAGAGAAACTTTAATTTTGTAAATTAAGGCTGGGAGTTCTATTTGTGAGTGTCTGCCATAATTATAAGGTTTTACCACTTATAAGGTAAACTGATGGGGAAGTTTGATGGGGATGAAGGTGTAGTGTCCTTAAAGCTTAAATTTTTATTATGAAGAAACTTTTTTGAGAGTGGTTTCTCTTTCTGTGCACACTGCTCACACAGGAGAAAACTTTGGTACTTAAGTCATAGGTCACTATGTTTTAATAATGATGTAAGCTTATAATGGCTGAAATTGGTATTTTTAGTCACACTGATTTAACGATGGCAAAGTAATACATAGAAATAACACATTTAATACTTTCCATCATGCAGGACTGTATATGGTGAAAAAAGATTAATACAGTCCTGCATGCGAAGAGATGTTTCCAAACAGGACTCTAATTTTAATAGATGCTATTTAATGAAAGTGATTTTTGTCTGTGTTAACAGTTATGCCAAAGACACAAAGTTTCTTGTCTGCTATTAAATTTTACTAAAGGCCTTTTTTAAGATATTAGTGGTCTTGTGTTCTGAGGTTTGAATTGACTTGCACACTTCTCAGATTCACTGCATTAGAGCTCTGCCTTTTTTTTCATTTTCTGATTGCACTGAACTTTAATGGTGTAGCTACACACACATAAATTACATTTTTTTTAAATTAATTGAAGTTAAAGGCCACATTGTTTACACTGATGTTACTTAGAGCAGAGTATTTCTTTTCAGTAGAAAATGCTCAAATAAAGGCTGGGGTGGAATAAGAGAAGTTGTAATTGGCTATTTATTTTTTATTCATATTTTACCAGTAATTCGGGTTTTCTATGTTGATTTTTATATGTTACTCTCAAAGCTTTTTTTCTGGTAGCATTGTTTTCTTCTTGAAATTTAGGATGCAGTAATGCAAGGGAAGGGGAGATACACCATATCATGTGAGCAAAACAGTCCAAAAAGAGATTACTTTCCAAAGAGAATGACTTAGGCTTTCCCATAATAGAAGGGGGGGAAAAATCTTAGTTTAGTTATTACTTAATTATTTTAATTCTACTGTCAGGAGTGGCCTCCTGTCTGGGAGAAATTGTGGAAAAAAATGTAAAGCAAGTCATGTAACTGCTTAAAATCTATTTAATAAAAATAATATAATTTATTTATAAAATAGTGAATTTTAAAATAGAACCATATTTCACTTGTTGATGTCTACATGAAAAATGGATGTTGTGTCCTCATAAAATAGGACAAATGAGTCATGTAATTTTAAGTTACATAACTTAGACAAATTCCACTTCTCTGATGATTTTTGTGACTGTTTTGTGATCAGGTTGAAGTGCACAGGGTTTCAAACTTCTAGATCAGTAGTGACAACATGAATTTTGCATTTTGCATTGTGTAGAAAACAAAACAAATCAATATACAGAACATCTCTGCTCAAAACAAGCAGGTCAAGAAGATTAAGAACCCCAAAACTACCAGCCTGCCAAGTACTGCAAAAACTCCAGTAACAGCAAGCTCAAAAATTATCCTTTCATCTGAGAAGTTCAGTTTAGGAAGCTTTGTAAGCCACATTCTTCTCCGGATAAATTTGGGCTTTGAAATTTTCCAAGCTGTAAAATTCTTGTGCTTATAGTACAGCATTGTGCATTAATATGTCTAGGCATGATGTGAACAGATTTTAAAATTTGTCTTTGACTTTCTGTTTTCTTTCACCCTTCCCTGTTGTTTATTTATATTTTTGCCTGTTTGTTTATATTTATCCGAGTTAAATTCATGTCAGGTAGGGCAGGGCAATCATGTGACAGGAGACCCCTTATGGTGCTGCATCTAACAAGGAGACAATTTTCTCTTTGGCCTGTTGTGACCTTTTTTGACTACATCACTTATGCCAGAGGTAGTATCCTGAATGCCTCTATTTCACCCTGTTTAGCAGAGTGCAACTGTGCCCTTTAACTTGGTTTTTGGTGGGAGGAGAAGCTCCGACAGACGTTGGAGAAGGGCACAAGGATAAGGGGTAGGAACTCTCTTTGGATGTGATTTTGATAGCTGGTCAAGTGTGTCCAACTGTAGAAAATCAGTGAGTGACAGTCTGTCTACCTGACAGTGGCCACAATGAACTACAAGGTTTGTGAATGGTTCTACAGATTAGAATAAAGCAAGCCCAAATAAAGTATCTTTTGTTGGGGTGGACTTGGTTTTCTCTGGGCAGCTAGGTATGGGGGACCTCTTTTGATCCTCTTGCCAGGACTGAGTGCAAAATGAAGCACCAAGTGAGAAGCTGGAATAAAGCTGTTCCATTAGATAATTGATATAGATGTTTCTGAAAAGTAAGTCTTTATTAAAATTTACTTCTAAAGGATGGCTTGATTTTGACTGGGAACTCATGTTAACTTTAGGGATACATCTGTTAAATGCACATGCTTCTCTTTTTTCCCTTCCCTTTGCAATTATATCTTTCATAAATATTATGATTTTTTTTGTGATTTGCCATCATTTAAAAATGATAACATTTGATTAGCTGATTTATTCAAGATTTATTTCTCATTCATATTTTTTTTTTCTAACCAGTTCATTCCCTGAGGCAAAAAAAAATGTACCTTATATGCTCAAAAGCATCGTGCAGGTCACAAATTTGGTCTGCATTTGTTAAATATACAGTATAATCCCAGTGAACTTTTAGAGCAGATTTAAAGATGCACTAAAAAGGCAGACCCACCATAAAGAGTTGACTTGTAAGCAACACCACTGAATCAGTTTTGGTATTGATTCATTGTTACTGCTGTTATTTGCCTCTGCATAGTATGTTTATTGTCAGCTAGACAAAAGGTTTTACTATTTTAAAATGTGGCGAATAATTTTCACAGGCTTTCTTTAACGTGTCTATCTTTATATATAAAAATCTCTCAATCCTTTTTATTTTAAAAGTTTTTACTGGTTGGGCATAAAGCTTTTTATTCATTATTGTGTAGAGTTCTTAAAGCAACATTTTGCTTTTAGTTTCTGTATTACTTTCTGAAAAAGTCATATAAAGTGCTTATGAATAAAACAATATATTAAATTATTTTAAAGGTAAAACAGGCGACTTTTCTGACTGAGGGATGTGTTATCAGCATAAATACATGCACTGATACATATTCACACATCAATATCCCTTTAATGACAGAATACTTTAAAAAACCCTGCTATAAATGATGTGTGAAGTTGCTGAAATAAATAAAAAAGTTCTAAAGAGCATTAAAGTAAATGCAAAGCATTTTCAAGTATTAAATTCCCCTTTTCACATTTCTTCTTGTTTGTGTGTGTGTGTGTGTGTGTGTGTGTGTGTGTGTGTGTGTGTGTGACTCTTCTAAAACAGGAAGGCTATGGAGTAATAGTTCTGAATCCCAATGAGAACTATATTGAAGTTGAGAAGACAAAAGCCCAAATACAGCTGTCTTCTGATATCTCAGATGAACCTGCAGAAAAGAGAGAAAAAAAAGATAAAATACAGAAGGAAACAAAGAAGCGACGTGACTTCTATGAAAAGTACCGAAATCCACAAAAAGAAAAAGAAACTATGCAGATCTATATTAGAGTAAGTTTATTTTGTTTTTGTTTGCCCTTTATTGATGCATACTTATGTTTACTGCCTATATTGACTAATAAATAGCATTCATTTTTAAGAACAAATATGTTACTGAGATAGCATTCAAGAGTTTATACAGAGTTCCTGACTCTTTATTGTGTTGGATTTTTTTGTTATTTATTGATCATGGTGTTTTGGAAGTGTTAGAAAATCTCCCTCTAATTTCAAAGAGAAACTTCAAATAAACCCCAGAGGAACTCACTGGTGTTATCAAGAAAGAAATTATTTAAGAAAAATTTTCTAAAAACCATTTTATAAACAGAGGTGTTCATAAGAAAGACTTTGTAGTGAAGCTTAGGCAACATACTACTTTCATGTCATGTATGCATTTATTGTAATATAAATGCATACATGACATGTATGCATTACATGGTAAGCAGTAGTTACAGCCTGATAGTTTTTATCACCTGCCAAATCAATAATGTATTGTGGAAAATACCAGTGATCATCCTGTGTGGTAGCAAATTTACCCTGTAATGTATTGTTTTTATATGAGCAACCATCTATTTTGAGCTAAACTTTTGAAGGCAGATAAAGGAGGAAACTTTCTAATATAATAATAAATATTTAAGCTAGAATAATTTGAGAATGGTGGGATGAAGAAACTCTGTCCCTTGCCCTTTTCTGACTCAGTGAACCTTTGCAATTCGTAATGCTACCAGCATGGGATCATTATAACAGTGCTACCCGAGGATTTCTAATTCTGCAGGGGGCACAAACAATATTACTTGTACATTGGCACATTCTGCTTCATGTACATACTATGCATTATACATTCCAGACTGAGTCGTACAATTTCCAAAATGCTTATTATGAACGTTAACGTTTTCATCCAACACATCAGAAACTCCACAGTGAAGGTAAAACAATAAAAATGTATATCATTGTGGTAAGAAACAGAGAAAAATCCAATAAGATACATGTTGCAATCATCTTAAATTTTAATATGACCCTGCTAATTTTTTTTTTAGCATAACAATTTTTGTAGAAGAAATATATACTGTGCTGGCTAGTAAAAAGTGTTAGTAACTTGGATACAAGATTGTCACTAATGCCATAAATATTTGCTGTCTTTTGAAAAATACCTGAGTATGGGAAACAAAGGAATACATATATATATATTCAAAGTCACCAACAAGGCACTGTGTTTTCTGTTTGCAGCTGTTTTATAAGATCCTATTCCACCCACTATCCAAACCCTCCTTCTTAAGAGGGGCAACCAGTTTTAACTTAAGGTCCATGAGAATCCAGTGGACAGTGCTGGTGTTTTGTCTGAAAAGAAATCTAGTCAGCATACAGGTTCACTGTTTCGTTGTTGAAATTGAACCTTTTTTTCATAACCTTTTTAGCAATTCTACCTTCTCATAACTCTTGCCTCATGAGGCATGAAATTTGGTTTCAGGAGGTTTAACCCCCCCGAAATACAAAATATAGTGTTCCATCCCATTTTCATTCTTGCACAGCTCTATGCCTTAAATATGACTTTTGATGTTTGCTTTATTTGATTTTCTTCAAATCAGGGAAAATAATATATATTTTAGTGGAAGTTTTTAGTGAAGGTGTGGTCCGTAGTCTCCTTCCCTGGACCAATAAATTGAAATTGGGTTTTCTGATGAGTTTGGTGTTGTATCCTGAAATTATTATTTTGGGGTTTTTTTGGTTAGTAGACTCCAGTACAGATAGTTTTTTGAAACAGAAAAACATATCTGCTTTATTGTATTGCAGGACGAATTAATGCAGTTTCCTTCTTATCAATTTCTGAAACAAAACTGGACCATCAGTAGGGTTCCATTTACTCTGTTGGTCAGAACTGCTAAGTCTCTAGGTGGTTGCAAGAGGTTCAATGCCATATTTGCCATTTTCTTGCCTCCCAGGCTTGAGTCCATAGGATTGCTCTCTGCCCGCACCCAGGGACTTGCCTCTGCAGGTGGCAGAGGTTTGGGCTGGTCTCAAAGGGCAATTCAGATACAATCTCACTGTATAGTATAGCATACATTTGACTCACTAGGCTCTTAAAATAAAACATGCCATCACTCAACAGAGATATTTAAGGATGGTATATGATTTGTTATTATCTCATCAAAGAGTTTTGAAAAACATGAGCAGGCCTTATGTCAACTTTGCCAAGTAGGAAAATGTATGGATAGGCTAGACAAAAAATATCCTCACAGGAAGGCTTTAACTTATCTAGCATGGAAGGAAAAACATGGTTGTGTCAAATATGCTGGAGAAATTGTTTCGGACTGTTAAGCAGAAGGAATAAATATCCTCAATTATGTTCTCTTAGGGTCACTGAGATCTGTTGTGATCTAATGAGGAAATGCCATTTGAACAAATTAAAGCTGTCTGGTTGATGTTCCTACTTGATCAGCTAGATTTTCCAAGAACTGGAGAATTAGAACTCTACTTTGGTAATTATGTTTAAGTATTTTCTTTATTTTCATAGTGAAAAAAATGGCTGGGCTATTCAAGAATATGTAAAAGCTGAATCTCGAAATCCAAAATATCGAACTGCACTATATTTTTGTACAAAATGAATATAAATAAAAACGACTATGGCAGTGTGTAATGCATTAAGCATAGTGCTCTTGAAAGATCAAAGTACTTACTGTTTCATCCTGGAAGTTTCCTTAACTATGAAATAATGTACTTTCTGGCATACATTAAGGCTTGTTAAAGGAACTGATTTGGTCTGGGTAATAAACATCATGTCAAACATTATGGCAGGAAAACCTGCTTAATATGTTTTGCAATAAGACAGATTTTTTTGTTCTTGAAAACATCTGCCAACTGAATTCACAAGTGAAGACAGAAAATGTCATCAATTCTGTAACATTCTTGTAAATTTTATTTCAATTTTAGCAATGCAAACCAGGAAAAAAACTTTTTAATAATCAGCATTGACTATAATACTTTTATGGAATGATTAAACACAAGCATTTTACTTTTATATAATGTGCTAATGAATGCATATGAATTTTAATACTTTTACTGTTCAGATTTTAACAAGCATATTGACAGATCATTTTAAAAGCATCTGGTTTTTAATGTGTTGAGTGGAGGATTGAGTAAAATAGCTAAATATGTACATACATCCTTTTAAAAAACATATTTCTATCCTTAGTTATAAACATTACCATTTTTTCTTAGACCACCAGAGGCTGCTCTGTACATATGGGCTAATGCTTTCCCCCCAGAAATTTCCTACCCTAACCAGCCTTCATTTGTTGCTGAAGTAAACTGAGAATTTGTTGCTCTCTAACCTTCTTCTGTGGAAACAAATCATGCATGCTTAAATGTGGCATGATCATTCCTTCCATTCTCAGCCATCTCCCATTCCCTACAGATTTCCACACTGACAGTGTCTTTTCAGTGTTAGAAGATATTTAAAAATCTAATTAGTATTTTCCCCCTTCTAAACTTCATTCACCACTTAAACAACTAAACTAAGTGGATTCTGAAATGTTATGTAAAAAAAGTATAAATTGCACAATTTGACAGTAATTTGCAATAATGTTGTTGCCCCAACAGTTGAACGATATCAGAGGCAACCAAGGAAGAAGTCGGAAGAATTACTTTTATCAGACCAACTAATGGGGTCAGGTTTTGTGGACAAAAGGGATAAGCCTTTCCAAAGCCTGTATGCTAGGAATTTTGTCCTTTTTCTTCCCCACTGAGCTTATCTGCTTGAATAATTCTTATGACAAATATTATTTTTACTACAGCACAGTCTATAGCAGTGCCATTTCTATTAACTGCATATTAATGAAATTAATTTTGAAAGTAGCATACTTTTCAGAAATAATTTTTCCTGTCTTCTCTAAGAAATTAAGTAGGAAAAAATCATGTGCAACCAGTTAATCTGTTTCACTAAAAATTGATACATCTGGATAATTTGTGTCAGGATTTATGAAAAAAGTGGTAAAAGTTGTTTTAATACACAGTTAAGTAAGCAGTGACCATTGGCAGACAGGAAATCCTGGCAAGCGTGCGAGCACAGTTGTGCCATTTCTGCTCATTGTTTGGTGTGGCTGACGTGAAGCACAGCCTGACTGGAGGTCACAGCAGAGTGTCTGCTTTTGTGGGATGACCTTTCAGAGCCATGGATTTATTTCACACTGAGGACTGAGCTGTTTCTCCACATAGCCACAGTCCCACCAGCTGCCAGTTTCACCCTGTGGCCATCTCTGGGCCAATGACCTACCCTCTGACTTGGCAAAGTGCACGCCTGCTCTTGTCCAAAGCCTGTGTGACTACATTAGCCTGCTGCTGAGACAAAGCTTATAAGCTGTTTATTCCACCAGAGACAAAATTACAAGCTCTGGGTGAGCAGCTCCTGAGAGGTAAGGGACATGTTCAGCACAGGGAATGTCTGTGGCAAACATGAGCATCAGGACTTCAACCTCTAGAGTCTCATGCTGTTGTTTTGTTTCTCCTTTTACAACAGCCAGCGTTACTTTATATATAGACGTCTGAAATACCACATGGGTTTACTCTGCCCACTTTTAAAGCTTGTTACTTCCTTATGTTCTTGAGAAGTCTCCTTCACCTGTAAGCAACAGCAAAATCAAATGCTGATAGTAAAAAGCTCCTAAGAACTGCCTAGAAACTACCATGGTGTTGTTCTTGCCCCATGTAGTGCTGGACACTGAGCATTCCAAGTTGAGAAGGCACTGCAGTTCAAATGCTGAACATAAACATGCAGTGGCATTTTGAGTGCTCCAGGAACACCTTGAGAGATATGGTCTTGCAGAACCTGTGCCACCAGAGACCTGCACCACCCTAGGCCAGCAGCTGGAAACCAAACATCTACCGTGACACTTAGTACCTGCAGTTAGGCTACCACATCATTCCTAAAAAGTCAGATAAGCTTTAAGTTCTTACAATAGTTTCTGTAAATCAGGAAGAATATGTATGTGTTATGTGTCATTCTACAGATACTGCAATGA